ACCCCTTGAGCACATCTTCTCCCAGGCGAGTACCGGAGCACTTTGCCTTGGCTCGATCTGGCGGACTGCTTTCATCGCTCCGGGGTTCGCACATGGGAGTTTCCGAAAATAAGGGGTACTTTATTTTGGGGTCCTTACAAAAAGGATCCTACTATTCAGGGTACTATATTAGGGTCCCCAATTTTCCGAAACCCCCAAATCTACGTGGTAAAGTTCTGTTTCAGGGCTCTAGCCTTGAAGGTTTATCGTTGGGATGTTTCAAGGGTTGGATCTGTTGGGATTCTTTTGGGTTTCTATGGGGTTTCTGTCGAAGTTCCCTGACGGGGGCGAGGTTTGGGGTTTCGTTTATCGGGCCGAGAGTTCAGGATCGGGCTCAGGACATATAGTTCAGGGTTTCTGATTTTGGGAGTAGCGTTTGGGTTTTCCCCGAAACCCTAAACCCTAAACCCCAAACCAATAGGACCAGGGTTTGGAGTTTAGTGTTTCGGGATGTTTCGGGTATGGCGGACACCGCGTGTAGAGAGCTTCCGAAACCCCGAAGCCCATAAAACCGTAGCTAATCGTAAACACATTAGTAAAAGTAGTAGTAATAGTAGTAGCAGTAGTAGTAGTAGTAGTAGTAGTAGTAGTAGTCGTAGTAGTAGTAGTAGTAGTAGTAGTAGTAGTAGTAGTGCTACTAATATTAGTATTAATGCAAGTACCCTAAACTGTACACTGAGGTTACACTTTCTCGCACGCGATGCTTCGGGGCCAGAATTTGACCATCTTCGCGCTGGTTCCTCGGCGAAGTCTTTTCGCCGACGCTTTGGTTTAGGGTTTGGGGTTGGGCCTCGTTCGGTTGTGACATCAGACCTGGATGCAATAGAATGGATCCCCTGCTGTCAACACGACACGTGCTGTGGTCAGCGGTGGGGCCTCGTTCTGTCGTATTGCGCCACTTTTAAGCGTATCCGTGCAGCGCTGTACATCATTGACTAGAAAAACATCGGTGGCACTGCAATGTAGTGGCGTACAGCATCGTCGGATCTCCTCGGCAGTTCTACTGTCCCTGAATTCAGGCATAGTCTCCAACCGCCTACTTGTAGCATGGCTGAGGGACCCGATAGAGTTAGCGATGTGGAGTTGAACAGGTGTCGATGAGAGTTTTGGGGGCACGTGGTCTGGTTGTAATCAGGCTGTTGACAAGATGACCCCTTTTCAGGCTCCCTGTTGGTCTGAATTGGGTTTTGTGGGGTTTGGGGTTCAGGCTGTTTGCACAACTCACAGTTACAGCGCTTCACAAAACCGTCGAAGCGAAATTCGCAATCGCAAACCTCAAGCCCTAAACCTGAACCCTTCTAGTAGCCCACAAACCGCTGTAGAATCTCCACATAGGCCCTTTACAGCAAACATTTATGGTTTAGGGCCTGCGAGGATCAGAAGTTTGGGATCTAGGGGAAGCTTGAGAGAAGCATTTGGAGCTTGCACAGATTGGCGCTTTGGTCTCAACTTGCCTCACCATGGTGGAGCACCAGCGCGTGAGGTGGGCGGCTGCCTCGAATCAGTTTCGGGGTCGGAATAAACATCGAGGGTCTTCCCCTCTAGTCCCTACATGATTACGCTCCGCGCCGGGGCTGGGGGGTTGCGGGGAGGCTGAGGCTGAGAAGGTCCGTCGCGTGTTTTTGGGGAAGGACGGGAAGGGCTCCAAATAAACCCAAGTCTCACGCGACACACCCACTAAACCCTAAACCCTAAACCCTAAACCCCAAAAAACCACTAAATCGAAAGCCTAAAACAAGAACGCTTCGGGTGCGAACGCAGGCGCCTCTCCGTGCTGCTGGAGGGTCGGCTCAGGGGTGCCGCTCGTCCTCCGAGCGGCTTTGGGGCCCGGGTAAGGGTTTTTTTTTTTCGATTTCAGACATTTTTGCAGGGTTTTGGGGCATTAGTGAGGCATTAGCCAGGGGCAACTAGGGGTTTGGTCATGTTTAGGATTTAGGGTTAGTGTCTACGGTCTAGTTTAGGATGATGGCACCAAGCCCGACCCTGATCATCCCCTAAGCCTATGCAGACTCGTTGTCTTTATTTTGGCAGCATGCGAACTCCTCAGGCCCGTGCAGAAGACGTGTAGCATCTCACGTAGGATACCTCTGCTTTGGGAGACTTGCGATCGGTTATGTTTCTAAACCAACGGGTCCCGGAAGCGCGCAGCCTAAAAGATTCAATTTCGCCGAAAACCAGCAGTCTCCAAAGTTGAAATTCCAAGGCTATAGACTCTCCCGCAGCAGGGACAGAAGCTCCGCACTGGCTAAACCCTAAAGCTCGCTGTGTTTCGGGGCCTGACTTGCGGAAATGTCCGTAGCCCTGAGACGCTTCAAGATCCCAGAGCTCTCTCAAAGCAGTTCCTTCCAGCGTCCGTCACCCAAAACCCTAACCCCGCAGACCCGACCCGAAACCCAGGGTTTTGATTCCCATTTGGGGGTTTCCGACAATAAGGGGTACCTTATTTTGGGGTCCTTTTATGAAGGATCCTACTATTTAGGGTACTACATTCGGGTCCCCTATTTTGGGAAACCCCCATACTGGTGGAAAGATGGGGGTCTGCTACCGAAGCTTCCAGCTTCCCTTTCAAAGCGGTTAGGGTTTAGGGTTTAGGGTTTAGGGTTTAGGGTTTAGGGTTTAGGGTTGTGGACGGTGGCAGGGCGAGGGTCAGAGGACAGTTTGACGTCGAACGGAACAGGACCAGGAGGTGTCTAGGACAGTGTAGGATGAACCCGAAACCCCAATGAACCCTGAACCCTAAACTGCCCTAAACCCCGAAGTTGGGCCGGATATTTCTGGGACCTCCGGACCCGCTTTAGAGTTGAGGTCCAGAGCCTAGGGTCAATCTCGCGGGCCCAGGAGTGAAACTGTACATCCACATATCGTGTGCCATGTGTGTAGAAGCAGAAGTAGATACAAGATAAACAAAACTGTATGTATGTATGTATATATATATATATATGTATGTATGTATGTATGTATGTATGTATGTATGTATGTATGTATGTATATATATATATATATATAGATACACACATATATATTCATATGTGTGTGTGTGTGCGTATTGAAGTATTTTGCTGAAAGGTTGCTTCGGAATCCTGCTGAGCGGCACTTGGGTTACCTTCCGGCGGAGTTTGGGTTCAGGGTTCTTCACTTCTTGAGGCGTGGACTGCAGACCGTAGAGACCCCTAAACCCTAAACCCTAAACCCTAAACCCTAAACCACACCCTTTTAGGGAGTTCCCGAGGATCGCACCCCGGACGAGAACCAGCTGGCTGCAGTGCCTTGATGACGGGATCTCCGCACGCTGTATATGCAAGAAGTAGTATGGAAGGAAGGAAGGGTAAGTAAGTAAGTTAGTAAGCAAGTAAGCAAGTAAGTAAGTAAGTAAGCAAGTAAGCAAGTAAGCAAGTAAGCAAGTAAGTAAGTAGTGAGTTAGTAAAACTCGTTAATTATGTGCTTGGGCTCTGAAAGTGGGGAGGCAAGAAGGAGAAAGGTAGGTATGTATGAGTAGTAACTGAGTGGTAGATAGGTAAAACCCAAAACAGGCAATGTGAGGGAATGTTTTCTGGGGTTCAAGCAAGGATTGTACGGCACTGCACACTGGAAGGAAAAAAGTCCAGTGTAATCCACTGCAACATTGAGGATCGTACCGTAAGCCAATGTTGGAATGTAGTGTAATGTAGCGTAATGTAATGCATCAGAGCCTAACGGATTGCAGTTTTTGTAATGTAAAGGGGTGAGAGGAAGGACATGAAATGTCGTGCAATCTAATGTCATGAAATGCGGTACAGCATAGCATGAGTGTCAAGTGATGAGTTGCCCTGCAGTATGGTTTCACGCGGTATAGTACGATGCCATGTCATATGACATAATGCGCCTCTTGAGATATATCATGACATGCATGGTGTCGTATGTCAGAAACTTACCCAAACGCCAGTATATGGTAGCCCGATGCCTGAGCTTTCGATCTTAAACGCTCGGGTGCGCTGAGTGCCTAGCCCGCAGCATCGCATCCTTCATGGGATTAGTAGGATTTGATGCGCGTGACCTCATTTTTTGCCGGGTATCCTGCTTTAGGTGGAGTTGGTTTCCGGTTTGTCTCAGGTTTCGGGTAGTTTTACGTTCGAGCTTTGGGCGGCTCAAGATCTGGCTTGCAATGTGAAGCCTTGAACCTCATCGCCCCAACAAATCCCAAACCCCACCCCCTGAGCCCTAAGCTCCAAGCCCCAAACCTAGGACATTTTCAGTTCGGTACTTTATAGGAGCCTTATAGAAGGTCTATATACCGTATAGAAGCCTTATACCCTAAACCCTAAACCCTAAAGCCTGAACCCTAAACCCTGAACCCTAAACCCTAAAACCAGAGGCCCGGTCTGCTCCAGACTCCTCTGGAGGTGCACCGCTCGTTGCAGTGCCTTTCCATCTACTCGCGGCTCATGGACGTGGCCTTCCCTGGCGTGCTGCTGCTGGCATCTTGTCTCAAGGAGGTTTAGGGTTTAGGGTTTGGGGGTTCAGGTTTTTGGGGCTTTCGGTTCGGTTCGGGTTTAGGGTCTTATAGGGTCTTAGGGTTAAGTGAGGGTTTCAAGAGATCCGCATATCCTGAGTAAAGCATCACTGCAGAGTTTCCGGCGGCAAGAACTCAGCACCTTTGAAGAGTTGGAATCGCAGAGCCATGGCCGACAAAATTTAGTCGCATGGTTGCAGCCACAACCCGCGTGGCAAGAACCTGCAGTTTCAGCTGCCAGGTGCCCTTCAACCTCGAACGATCCTTGGCAGCATGCGTGTTTTGTCAGTCACATGCCATGTGCTGCAATTTGGCCCTTGTCGGGCCCATGTGCATCGGTCTGCCCTCTGTGAAGAACGGCTGCCGGCCCCTTCTGGCTCAAAGGGTTTATGCATTTCAGATTATGGCATGTATGATGCCGGGTGGGACTTCCGCCGGTAGATGCCCATAGCTCTGTGACGTATCACATGGCATGTCCGGTTGGCCGGACGGTCGGACTGAACGTGTGCCATCGGTGGTCTGGTGCTTCGAGCACTGCATGAAGTCGCAGCAGGAGCGTCTAAGGACGGAGCTCAAGCAAGCTGCAACAGTGTTTGGCTGCAGCTTCACATGTCACAAAAAGTCGATGGGTTTTCTTAGCTGGCTGGAGGGCAGGGAAGGACGGATTCTGTTACTTGCAGACTGGCGAGAAGCGAAGCCCATCATGGAAGAACTCGGCAGACGCCAGGGACGCCATGACATTATCGTGTGTGTGGTTGGTCAGTCAGACAAGATGTTCCGCCGTGCTGTCGACTGGGCAACGAAGCAGGTATCCGAGATCGACATCATAGTATCATCCAGTTTTTCGCGCCAGAATATAGAGGATCTGGTCGCGCGTCACTGGGAAAGGTCCAGCCAAGACCAGGCTGTGTGGGCCTCCTTGTCCAGGGCATCGGCTTCCTCCTGGAGTCCCAGTGGTCCCAGGAGGGATGGTTTGCCGAGTTTTCCGCCAGAACTTCGAGCCGACTCAGCTTACCAGGCCGATGCAGCCCGCTTGGACATTGACCAGGTCGCGAGTGTTGAGGAGATTAGCTGAGCCCGCGGCAGGTAGCCGCAGTTTGGGCGGCGAATTGGGCGAAGTTAGTGCCTCGCTACTAAACATAGGGCTTACGACTCAGGCCCTTGCATTTTGCGGCTCGATCTTGCCTGTGTCTTCTGATTGGCAGGTCCTGACCAGCAGTGTGACGACTGATCCCATTAGCCAGTGCCTTCGCAGCTGACCCTGCAAAGCAGGAAAGACGGTCCCTCAGCGCGCCGTGCGCTGTTCGAAAAGATTCGGCCCTGCACGAAGTCGAAGCCTGCAAGTCTTGAACGCTTAAGCGAATATCCGTTTTTGAGTACTGGGTGACCTGGCTATAACGAAGCCAGAATGTACCCGAACACCGTAGTGGTAGGAGGAGGAGCAATGCAGCAGAGACATCTAACACCCCGGACATCCGAAGCCCAAACTTTGAGGAAAACCGGAAGATGGTGGAGACAGCTCCTCCTTTAAAGGGTTCTATAAGGGTTACTATAAGGGCATAATGTGGAGGCCTTAGGGTATGTTAGGGTTAGGGGCCGGTGATGAACCGCCCTGCTCCTGTTACTCCTGTTACCCCCTTTTTCTCTTGACTGAGCCTTAGCTATCGCCCTTACGGAAACCTTGCCAAAAGAGGCCCTAGAGCCCTAAACCCTAAACCCGAAACCGTAAACCCCTAAACCCGAAATCGTAGACCCCTAAACCCCTAAACCCTGAACCCTAAACCCTAAAGCCTGAACCCGAAACCCCTAAACCCTAAAACCCTAAAGCCGTAAAGCCCTAAACCCGAGGATCCCTGGGGGTTTTTAGGGGATTCAGGACCGGTGATGCACTACGGATGCACTGCTCTGGTAGTGGCTGCCATGGTCTCCGGGGTGCTCTCTTATGTGCCTCGCCTTGCACCAGCTGGTTGCAAGGAGGTTTAGGGTTTAGAGTTTAGGGTCCCATGGGGTGTTGCAGGGTTCTCTACAGGGTTTGGGGGGGTTCTAAGGCTTTTGTTTCAGTCTTGGATTTGGGGTTGTCTGGACTTAGAGAGTTCGGGCGCGCTCCAAAGACCTTAAGCCCAAAGACCCCAAGACTTCAAGATGGGATGCTGAGCTTCTCAGTGCTTTGATGCGTAGTCTCAACCCCTCCGTCGAAGTCTCCGAAAAGCTTCCCAGAGGCCCCCTAAGTGCGGAAGAGGCCTTCAATCTCATTCAAGTTCCGACTCGAATCTCAGGGTTGTTTCCCGTGAATCCTTGGCTTTCTCGTCTCTGGCTTCAGCGAATCCTGAGAAGGGTTTGGGGTTAAGGGTTTTGGGTTTATAGGTTTCTAGGGTTTAGG